AGCCTGAGGGAGCTGGGCCTGCTCGTGTGGCGTCTGGCGGTGCTGAGCCTGGAGGTTCTCCGGGTGCTTCGTCTAGGCGGGAGCCACTCTCTCCACAGGAGCTGCGAGAGTGGTTTGCCCGGCGCTGGAGGCGTGCTGCTGGAGCTGGAGGTTCTTCGACTGCTGAGGGAGCTGGTGCCGCGGGTCCCGGAGGTGCTCGTACTGGGAGTACTGGAGCTGCTGGGCCTGCGGGTACGCCTGGAGCTGGAGCTGCTGAGGGTGTTGGCACTGAGGCTCCTGCTGTCGGTCCTGGAGGCGGTCCTGCTGGGGGTGCTACTGGTGCTGCTGGAGGTACTGGAGCTGGAGGTGCTGCTGGCGCTAGTGCTGCCGCTGGGGGTACTGGTGCTGTCCCTGCTGTGTCTGGAGTCGCCGCGCGGCCTCGGCCGTACTTCGTTCCGCTCCTTCAGCAGGTTCTTGGTCTCCCGCCTTCTACTGGTCCTCCTCCTCCCTTAGAGTGTCCACAGCCTGTCCCGTCCCAGTTACAGTTACAGCCGGCCTCCACACTGCCCGCTCCTTCTCCCTACACTGGTCCTACTGGAGGTCTGGCTGAGCGTCGTGAGCCTGCGTCTCGCCCTGCGTCGCCTGTCCGTCTTGCTCGCACTAGTGGCCGTGGTTCGCGTCAGCGTCCTCCTCCTGTCCCTGGCACGCACCGGATGTCTCTGCGTCCGTCCACTGCTCCTCTGCGTGCCCCTTTGCCTTCTCCTCCTGAGTCCTCTCTTCCTGCTCTTCCCGACCCGGAGTCGGACTCTCTTCCTGCTGCCAGTCCTACTCTCACGCGTCTCCTTGCTACTGTCGTCACTGACCCTTCCTTTGAGTCCACTGCTGCGTCTGCCCTAGTTGCTGAGCTCGTCGACTTTGCTGCTCGCTGTCGTCTAGACTACGCTGCTAGTCTTGTCGTTGAGTCTGAGTCTGTCTGTCCTCCGTCCGTCGGGGGTGAGTGTGCCCTTGGCACGGACGTCCTTGAGGACAGGCAGGAGGAGTTCCAGTGTTTGGCTGCTGCTTCACCTCATCTCGTGTCCGTACTGCTTACCCCTGAGGGAGACCCGGATGCACTTGACATCCCAACTCCGCGCTCTTACGCGGAGGCGATAGAGGGTCCCTACTCCTCTCAGTGGCAGGCAGCTATGGACACAGAGATGGCTTCCTGGAAGTCCACAGGCACCTACGTTGACGAGGTTCCCCCGCCTGGGGCGAACATCGTCAGTGGCATGTGGATTTTCAGGGTGAAGCGACCGCCGGGTTCTCCGCCTGTCTTCAAGGCGCGTTACGTGGCTCGTGGCTTCAGTCAGCGGCAGGGAGTTGACTACTTTCAGACCTTCTCTCCCACCCCGAAGATGACCACTCTTCGGGTACTGCTGCACATAGCTGCTCACCGCGACTACGAGCTGCACTCTCTTGACTTCAGCACTGCTTTCTTGCAGGGCAGCCTGCACGAGGAGATCTGGCTGCGTCGCCCACCTGGCTTCACTGGGTCTTTTCCTCCTGGCACCCAGTGGAGCCTCCGGCGGCCAGTCTACGGTCTCCGCCAGGCACCGCGTGAGTGGCACGACACACTGAGGACTACACTTGCGGCTCTTGGGTTTGCTCCCTCTACTGCTGACCCGTCGCTGTTTCTGCGCACCGACACTTCTTTGCCGCCGTTCTACATCCTCGTGTACGTCGACGACTTGGTCTTTGCCACAGCTGACACTGCTGGACTCGCCCACGTGAAGTCCGAGCTGCAGAAGAGACACACGTGCACAAACCTGGGTGAACTGCGCAGCTACCTTGGCTTGCAGATCACCCGGGACAGAGCACGCCGCACCATTACCCTGACTCAGTCACACATGGTGCAGCAGGTCCTTCAGCGCTTCGGCTTCACGTACTCCTCGCCTCAGGCCACTCCTCTGCCTACTCGCCACTCGCTCTCAGCTCTGCCTTCGGATGAGTCCGTAGAGTCGAGTGGCCCGTACCCAGAGCTTGTTGGCTGCCTCATGTACCTGATGACCTGCACACGACCTGACCTCGCATACCCTCTTAGCATTCTCGCACGCTATGTTGCTCCTGGGAGACACAGACCGGAGCACATGGCTGCAGCGAAGAGGGTGTTGCGTTACTTGTGCAGTACGTCAGGCATGGGGCTTGTGCTTGGAGGGCAGAGTCCAGTGGTCCTCACTGGGCACGCAGACGCTTCTTGGGCTGACGACCAGGCTACGCAGCGGTCGTCACAGGGTTACACCTTCAGCCTTGGTTCCGGCTCTGTTTCGTGGCGGGCTACCCGCTCGTCTTCTGTTCTCGGCTCCAGTTGTGAGGCTGAGATCTACGCCGGGGCCATGGCTGCACAGGAGCTTCGCTGGCTCACCTACCTGCTGGCTGACCTCGGAGAGCCGCCTCGTTCTCCTCCAGTGCTGTACGTAGACAACAAGGCCATGCTGGCCTTGTGTCGAGAGCAGAGACTGGAGCACAGAACGAAGCACATTGCTCTCCGCTACTTCCTTGCTCGTGAGCTACAGCAGCGTGGTCAGCTACGGCTTGCGTACGTGGCCTCTCAGGCCAACACTGCTGATATCTTCACCAAGGCACTTGCGCCTTGTGATCATCAGCGCTTCTGTACTCAGCTGGGTCTTGTGCCTACCTTGCCTCACTTGCTCACCCCTTGACCTTGTTTGTACTGTTGCATATATATATACACCTGCTCTTGCTTGTCTAGCCTTATATATATATGTAATCCTGCATGTGAACTGGCCTTGTGGCCTTGACCTTGTGCTCGGAATGTGTGGTGACTTTGTGATCCACCCTGAGCTTGCTTTGCTTTGCTTGACTGGTCTTGTGACCCCTTGTTCTCCCCCACTTTGCCTATGGGGGTGTGTCAGATTTATATGACATAGCTACTGTAGGCTATAGTGGGGTAGCACATATGGGGTATAGTTTTCTAGGGTTTACATTTGTACCCAACTTTCCCTTAGTCATTCTCATTCCTCGTTTCTTCTCACGACATGGCGTCGGACGTGCAGCACTACGTGTCCGCCTGCCCGACCTGCCAAGCAATGAAGTCATCACGCCAATGCCCAGCTGGACTGCTGCAGCCCCTCGAGCCACCCGAACGACCGTGGTAACATGTGACGATGGATTTCGTCACCGGACTGCCAGCTGGCGCAAGTGGCCACGACTCGGTACTGGTCGTCGTTGACCGATTAACGAAAATGGCGCATTTCGCACCATGCCGCACGACAATCACAGGCGAAGAAACAGCGAAGCTCTTCATCTCGACCGTCGTACGCCTCCACTACCTTCGGCGATCATCAGCGATCGAGATCCGAAGTTGACATTGAAGTTCTGGCAGGAAATGTGGGCACAGTACGGCACCCGTCTGCAGTTTTCGTCGTCATACCACCCTCAAACCGACGGGCAGACAGAGAGGACAAACCAGACAATGGAGCAGTTGATCCGCACGAACTGCCCCGACATCACCAAGTGGGAAGATTCGCTTCCCATACTCGAATTTGCGTACAACAACGCCCCGTCCGCGACGACCAATCAGTCGCCGTTCTACCTCAATTACGGGATAGATCCCGTGGTACCCTCTTCAACGACTCCCAAAAACCCGGTACCACGGTCGCAGCAGTTCGTCTCCGAACTTCAAGCAGCACGCGACAAAGCAGCAGAGTTTATACGGAAGGCTAATACTAACGCCAGCCGCTACGCCGACCGACACCGACGGAATTTACCCTTCTGTGACGGGCAGATGGTCCTTCTGGACACGAAAAATCTTCGACTGCCCCAGCCTGCAAAACTACGTCCCCGCTACGTGGGACCCTTCCGCATCATTCGGATGCTGACCCCGGTCACAACGAAACTTCTCCTCCCGGACGATTGGAAAATCCACGATGCTTTCCACGTCAGCTTGCTCCGCCATTACGTGGCTCCGCATCCGTACGACGTCGCTCGACCCAACATCGCGCCAAGTGTCCGGCCTGTGGCAGACCCGACACTCCAGCCCTGGAAGATTTTGAATCATCGCATTCGTGCGACCCCGGCTGGACGCCACGTCGACTTTCTCCTGCGATGGGTGGATCGCACAAGCGAAGATGACACGTGGGTCCCGGCCGACTCACTACAAGGCCACTTGGTGCTTCGGGATTGTCTTTCCCGCCGACGCGTGCCTGATATTGACCACCTTTCTTAAAGGGGGGGGTAGTATAAGGAATTTTCCTAATTCCTTACTCAGGCACTCCGTACGCGTACAATTCCAACTTTTCGGAGTTCAGGCTCGGTCCGCCGACCTCGCCTTCCGAACGTCCTTCGTGTCGCCTTCGGGTTTCCCAACCCCAAACCTGCACCCAACCTTCGCGCGACTCCGCGACCTCGGCCTAGCTAGCTTTGCTATATTATGCCTAGGCCTCGTTGTTTGCTCAGTAGTTGTAATCACTTCCGCGATATTGCATTCTGCGCACTCTTCTTTCATACAACTCATAACACCATCACGACGGAGGTAACATTCAAGCGACTCGCCCTGCAAAATCGCGTTCCTGTTACGTCCGTCCGTTTATCGAACGGTCCTCGTCCGGACGATTTGGGAGGGCAGTTTACGCAAAAAGTTCCATCAGCAGTCCGATCGTTGACAACGTCGGAAGTGCTCAAACGAGGAGTCAAACGAAACCCAACGAAGAAGATAACCACTAAAACGTCCGGACGGTAGCCCGTCCGGATGGGCAAAAGTGAAAAATGTTATACGCCCTTAGGAGAACCAGTTGTTGTGATGGTGGGCTACTTTCGCCATGCAAGCCAGCGAGAATGTGGACTCCGCAGGTGTCCTTGTCGTTTCATATCAACCACAGAGCAAATCCTCAGATTGTAGTCAGTTTAGTCTACAAGTCCGTATGTTGCATTAGGGTTTCGAGTCGTGCTTGTAGGGAACGAGTCATCGAGGGAAATTCATCGACGGATGCGCGTGCTGGTGGCGGCCGGCGAGGCGAGCAGCGATGGGGTCGTGGGTGGACGCGGGGAGTGGCGGGCGGGCGCGCGTTGAGGGGTGCAAAGGAGCTGCGGACGGCGCCGCTGCGCAACACACCACAGCGCGTGCTGCATCCGCGTGCGTCGCGCGCTCCCCGTCGTCATCGCCCATGACCCTGCCCTCCCCGTCCTCCTCGCCCCTCAGCCTCTTCACGCCCTTGTCGCACCACCGCTCGCCGCTTCTCTCGCCCTGCCCCTCCCCCTCGCCGCTGCGCACGCTCGACGAGGATGCGGCGGACGCCGCGGAGGGGCTCACTGGGGAGCGCCAGTGGGGGATGGCGGGGATTTGCGGAGCACCGGCGACGATGGGCGCGGAGGCTGGGGTGGCGGGAGGCTGCGCGCCGATGCGGTGGAGTGCGGCGTCGGTGTCGATGCCGTCGCTGCGCGCCGCGCCGTGGGAGGGCGACGGGCTGGCGGCGAGCGCGTGGCTGCCGGGCTGCGGCGGGCGATGGACTCCCGGCGGCGCTGCGGCGTGGCTGGCGCGCGACGAGAGCGAGCGATGGCCGACCAACGGTGAATGGGCGGTGGGCGAGCGCAGCGCGCGGAGAGGAGCGGCGCGGGGGGGCACTGGGACAAGCGGAGCGACAGGGACGGCGAATGAAGGCGGGCCGGCAGTGGGAGGGAAGCGCCCTGCGACGGGCGGAGGGGCGAGCGCGGGGGCGGGATGGCGGGAGCTTGCACGGGAGGCGGAAGGGCGAGGGGGCTTGTGGGGGCCGCGGGCGAGGGAAGTGAGCGGCGCGAAGCGGGGCGTGCGGGGGCGAGGCAGGGACGGGTCGTGGGGGGGCGATGAGAGCGGCGCGGGCAGCGTGGGCGGGGATTGGGCTGAGGATGTCGCGGAAGGGGAGGCGGAGGAGGGGAGGGGCAGGGAGAAGAAGGCGAAGGGCGGACGGGCGGTGGGCACTGGTGAGGGCGCGCGGCTTGGAGAGAGCAGCAGCGGTGCTGACAGGGGGGTTGAGAATGCGGGGGGAGGGGGGGCGAGCTTGGAGCGCGAGCTGCAGGAGTGGCTGGGCGCTGCTGTGCCGTGCGCCGCCAAGAGGGGCAGCAGCGGGGCGGGCGAGCAGCCCCCAGGCACAGCAGCGCGCGCGGATGCCAGCAGGGCAGCGACGAGCGGCGAGGGCGCGAGCACGAGCGGTGGGGGGGTTGGTGGTGATGGCATGGCCGCGGAGCAGCGGCAAGCAGGGGTGAGCGGGTACGGGGGCGGGAATGGGGGTACTTGGGATGAGCAGCAAGAGGGGGCGGGGGTGGCAGCGCAGCAGGTGGAGTTCCGCGTGACGGCACAGGAGCAGGGACGCCGCCCCGCCGCTTGGAAGCCCGAGGCTAAGCCACGCCAAAGCAGGCAGTCAGGTTCGGTGTTTGGGTCGGGGGAGGATGGGCTGACACTGGAGTCGTTTCTGCGGGGCGGCAGGAGGGCGCGCGCACGGCTGAGAGGGCAGGGCGCGCAGACGTGGCAGGTGGATGACGTGGCGGCGAGGGGCGTGGCTCAGAGCATGAAGGCACAGCAGGTGCAGGGGGGGCGGAATGGGGAAGCGGAGGGGGAGGAGGAGGCGGAGGGAGAGGGGAAAAGGGATGGAGGAGGGAGAAGGGAGATGGTGGTGGAGTTACGGTGTTGTGCCGACCAGAGGCTGGGGCATCAGGGCGGGGGCCAGGGGGTGCACGAGCAGCTGCAGCAGTGGCGGGGGCAGAGGTCGCTGTGTGGCGGTGCAGGGAAGGGGACGGCCTCCCATGGCGCGGGGCAGGTGCACAGGCGCGGGCGGTGGGACGAGCTGGACGTGTCGGCTGCTGTGGCCGCGCTGGGGGGCGCGGGGGAGGCAGGCGGACGCGGCAAGGAGAGGTGTGGTGGGGGCCAGGAGGGGCGCGGTGGCGGTGGTGGTGGCGAGTGGGAGGGCAGTGGTGCGAGGCAAGGCGGGGACGGCGTGGGTGGAGGCAGCAGTGTGAGAGCGGGTGCAGTGCAGGTGGATGGCAGCGCCTCGCCCGCTGCTCCCACCCACGCCCTGGCGGCACCCGCCCTGGCGGCACCCGCCACTGCGGCTGGCATGGCGGGCGTGGCGGGTGTGCTGTGCTGGTCGCCGCCATGGGTGGCGGCAGCAAGGGGCGCGCGGGCGGTGCGTGGGTCGCTGGACGTGGCTGCTGCCGTGGCGGCGCTGGGTGGCACGGAGGGCTTGGAGGGAGGGGTGGGCGAGGGGGGTGCGGGGAGGGACGTGTGCATGGAGGGAGTGGATGGGGGAGGCGGTGGGGGGATAGGCGCGCAGGGGAAAGAGATGGAGCAGGAGAGGGAAGGGGGTCGAGAAAGAGAGGCGCATGCGATGCTGGTTGAGGAGAAAAGGACTGAGAAGTGTGAGGAGGGCGAGCAGAGCATGGGTGGTGATGGGATGTGTGGCATGGGCGGTGTGAGTGCAGAAGCAGCAGCAGTGCATGCAGGCAGGCCGCCCTCCACGCCACCCCCCTGCACGCCCCCACACGCCCCTCCATCCCCCCCTCTCACCGCAACATCCCCCGCCTCTCAGCGCCCATCCTCACCTCCTCGCCCCCCCCAGGGCGCACAGGCTGCAAGCAGCGGTGGCAGGGGGGCATGGGAATGGGCGGGCAAGGCGGCACAGCCGCAGGAGGCGAGCAGCGGGCGGGCAGAGGGCGCACTGGAGGGGGGTGGGGGAGGGCAGCTCGCAGAGGCAGGCGCGAGGCAGGGGGATGGCGGGGCAGCGGTGGGAGGAGGGAGGTGGAAGGGGAGAGGGGGTGGGAGGAGGCAGCATGGCAGTGTGGGCGAGGTGGAGCGCGCCTTCGAGGTGGCCCCCGCCCACCTGCTGGCCCTGCACCGGTGCGTGAGGGCGGTGGATGATGCATGGTGCATGATGCATGATGCACGACGCATGGTGCAAGGCGTGTGGCGCGTGGTGCATGGGGCATGAGTGGACGGGAGGATGGGCGAATGGTTGCATGGGTGGTTGGATGGGTGGATGGTGGATGGTGGATAAGTGATGGGTTGGATGGGTGAATGCGGAACGCACGCACACATGCCATCACTTCACATGCCATCACTTCACATGCAATCGTCTCCCATGTACTAACCCTGGCTAATACACCCACTATCTCGCCCGCATGCCTGTCATCTCCCCTCCCCACCTGCCTCCCCATTCCCCCCCATCGCTGCAGCTGGCACCCCTCATCACGGGACCTGGCGGTGCGCTGGGCCGGGTGGCTGCTGCGCCGCATGCGCAAGGCCGCCTGCCCGCCCGCCCCCCGCCCGCTGCGCCTGCTGCTCTTCTCCGCGCTGCTCTCCGCCCTGCCCCGCCTCGCTGACTCGCTGCTCTCCCTCGCCTCTCCGCCCCCTGCATCACCCTGCCATGCTCACTCCCAGGTATGGTTCACTGCCATGCTCACTCCCAGGTATGGTTCACTGCCATGCGCACTCCCAGGTATGGTTCACTGCCATGCGCACTCCCAGGTATGGTTCACTGCCATGCGCACTCCCAGGTATGGTTCACTGCCATGCGCACTCCCAGGTATGGTTCACTGCCATGCGCACTCCCAGGTATGGTTCACTGCCATGCGCACTCCCAGGTATGGTTCACTGCCATGCGCACTCCCAGGTATGGTTCACTGCCATGCACACTCCCAGGTATGGTTCACTGCCATGCGCACTCCCAGGTATGGTTCACTGCCATGCGCACTCCCAGGTATGGTTCACTGCCATGCGCACTCCCAGGTATGGTTCACTGCCATGCGCACTCCCAGGTATGGTTCACTGCCATGCGCACTCCCAGGTATGGTTCACTGCCATGCGCACTCCCAGGTATGGTTCACTGCCATGCGCACTCCCAGGTATGGTTCACTGCCATGCGCACTCCCAGGTATGGTTCACTGCCATGCGCACTCCCAGGTATGGTTCACTGCCATGCGCACTCCCAGGTATGGTTCACTGCAAGGAGCGCGCTGTGGCCTCGATTGCTCCAGTTTCTGGCCTCCACATCTCGCTCCTTCATTGCCCAGTTTACTTCACTGCCGCCCCACAGCAATGTCTAATTCGCCCTCATGCTCCAGGCGCACCCTAATCATCTCCCCACCTCCCACCATGTATCCCCTGCACTGCCCGCACCCCCCACCCACCCCCCATGGCCGCCGTGGCAGCTGCTGCACTCAGCGGCGTCGCTGCTGCGCGCCGTGGAGCGGAGCCGCACCGCACTGCCAGCGCTGCAGTGGGCGGCGCTGCAGGAGCTGCTGCCGCGCTGCCACTCGCTGCTTGCTGCTGCTGCCAGCCTGCACCGCCGCACACGGCATGGTGGCAGCGTGGCCCCGCATGCACCTGCAGCTGCTGCAGTGGGGCTGGGTGGGGGAGGGGGAGCAGCGGCATCGACAGCAGTGCCGGGTGCTGCTGTGTGCAGCCCTCCCCACAGTTCCTCCTCCGCTTCCCCCGCCTCCTCTGCTGCCACCCACGCCACTGCTGTGCTTGACGGCGCTGCGGAGCGTGGTGCGTGTGGTGGGGGCAGTGGTGGGGGCAGCAGCATGGATGAGGATGGGGCTGGCAGGCACACGGGCAGGGTGGAGCAAGGGAGTGGCACGCGGGCGGCTGGGGGAAGGGTAGAGGGCAGCGAGGATGAGAGCAGAAGGGGCGGCTGTGAGCGTAGAGCAGGGGAGGGGTGGGCTGCCCCCTCTGCTGCTGCTGTTGCTGCCAGTGCTGATGTGGACGATGCCTGTGTGCCGGTCGCCATGGCCTCTGGTGCGCATGACCATGCACGCCCGCAGCCGCAGCACACTCAGCAGCATGTGGCAGCACAAGGGAATGCAGTGGGTGGTGGTGCTCTCCCTGACACCGTCCATGCGCTTCCTGCCTGCACGCCCAGTCAACCTCTGGATGCCACTGCGCCAGCATTCTCCTTCTCCTCTCACCCCGCTGCCACTCACGCCCTCGTCTGTGTGCAAGCGCCACCCACACTGCAGGATGCTCAATGCGACCCCCACACTGAAGCCACCCCGTGTGGGGCAGCCACTCGGCAAGAGACCACCGTGCCGTCCTTCCCTCGCTTCTCGCCGTTTGCCGCTGCAGCCACTTCCCCCCACGCCGCAGGCACTCCCCTGCACGTGCTCTGGGCGGCGAGGGCAGCGGGGCACCGAGTGAGTCGCAGCATGGACGGCAGCAGTGACGTGGCGTCGGGGCTGAGCGGTGGTGCGCGGCAGCAGTTTGTGGAGAGCAGGCGGCGGCAGCAGCAGGCGGTGCAGGCGTGCGTGCAGGCGCTGCAGGGCGGGCTGTTCTCGCCGTACGGGCGGTCTGCTCACACTGCAGGGCATGCGGGCACCAGCAGGTGGCGAGGGGCCGCAGCAGAGAACGGCGTGGGCAGAGGCATGGGGGGCAGCGGTGGGGAAGGAAGAGAGCAAGCAGAGGAAGAGGGCAGGCGAGGGGAGGGGTTGCAAGAGAGGGAGGGAAATGGAGGGGCTAGAGTTGGGGGAGGTTGGGAATGGGGAGGACGAGAGGGCGGGGCTGGGGGAGGCGAGGGAGGGAAGGGGCACGAGCGGAGTCACAGCTTGGACGTGGATGCCATGGCCCAGCTCTGCCGCCCCCTGCACCATGCTGCTGCCTCTCCTCATGGCGCGGCGGCAGGGCTTGCGAATGGTGGCAGTGAGCGGTGGAGGAGGGGCACTGGTGCGCACCACATTGACCCGACTGCTCCTGCTGCTGCATCCCCGCACGCCTACTCGCCTCTCCTGCCGCCCAAATCTCCCTCACCGCAGCCAAAGGGCCGCTTTCCTCCCTTTCCCCACGACGCAACGCCCTCTCCCCATCCCCCCCTCGCCCATGCCCACCACCTGTCCAAACCCCCGTTCCAGCCAACCATCTCGCCCCACCCTGCTGCTGCCACATGGCCCTGTGCCGCACCCTCATCCCCTGGTGCGCCCCACGCCCCACTCTCTGCTCATCCTCCCACGCTCGAGGCAGAGGGTGTGGGGGCAGCAGAGGAGAGGGCGGTGGAGGAGATGACGTCGCTCTTCTCCGCACACTTCTCTGCCCCCTCTGCACCTGCGCACAGGCCGGTGTGTGCAGCACCACATGGCGCTACACAAGCTCAACCCACACCGGATGGAACAAAAGGATGTGCGAGGCGCACACCCCATCCTGCGCTTGCAGGCTGTGCTGCACCGCAAGCAGTGCACGCCACCCTCAATGCGGCCTCGCACCCGCCACCTTGCTCTGCTGCTGCTCGCCCTCCCAATGCCACCGGTGCGGCGGATAGTGTGGAATTCCAGTCCACAGGGCCAGAGGGAGCGGGCGAAGCCAGTCCAGCACATGAGACGGGCATGGCAGCAGGTGGCGGCATGGGAGCAGCGGTGCCACCCAAGCCGCGGTCGCGCAAGAAGATGATGTCAAGGAGAGAGTGGCTGTAGCAGGGCATAGCGAGGAGCTGAGTGGATCATGGGGGTTGTGAAGAGAAGAATAATAAGCACTAATTCCAGCGTGCTGCAGTAAGGCCTGCTGTAGTGCCATACAGAGATGTGTTGGTGACAGATTGTACATCCATTCATACGGTACCAGGAAACACGTGATGGTGTGGCACCCTTTCTGTAACGGTACTGTTTTTACACATGTCCATTTACGGCTAAGTACAGGACCCCGTGTTTCAGTTACCACTTGGAGTTGTACCTCATACACTTTGTTCTTGGTGACTGGCCTTGTGACCTGAGGGGGCGGGACTAGTTTTCCGCCCCATTTTCTAGGGACTGCCTGTCGAGATAAGCTAATAGCCTAAGAAGCGTGAGATAGGTAGGTTTAGGAGCTGCCATACCCAAGAGTGGCGTGAGAGATGTCGAGAAGGAAGTTGGCGAAAGAGGCGTTTCACTATAAAGATGTGAGTACAAATAGGAAAGGGAACATGCAAAGAAGGGTGCACCACCAACAGAATGGAACAAGCTACACCACAACTATAGCTACATGCATATATATACATATATATATATGTATATATTGTTGAACTGAGAAATGCCTTAGAGAGTTTAGTCTCTGTAATGTATTGCAGCGGAAGACTGAAATTCCTGTACTGGTCAAGTGTGAGAACAAGAATTGATAATAAAGAAAAGATACAAGAGTTTTATAGTCTAGGAAGTACCTACCGTATTCAATAATGTATCAGTTCATGAAACGGGATAGACATCGAGTCGACTCTACAAAGGGGTATATAATCATGTGTCACGCGAACAGTTGCGAGACTGTTCGCACTACTACATGTAACTCACGCGAAGGGACACATGCTATAGTAACATGTACACATATAGTAATACTACGATACTACCTGGCCCTACGATATCAGGAATTTTCCCCTGAAATTCCTGATTTTCAGGGATTTTTTTGTACCTACACTGGTTTTCCAGTGTTCAGCTTTTTGTGGGACTGATTTTTCAGCCTTTTCCTGCCAGGTGACTCTGAACTTTCAGGCTTTTTTTGAAAGGGACACTGATTCCACTACATTGTAACGAAACTGACACTGAATGCGATTCCTACACGTTCCGAGTGTAGTTGCCCGGAAGTACAGGGAATCTCAGATTCCCGCGGTGTCATCACCGCCTGGCGGTGACTACCACACAAATTTGCCCTGTACTAATCACTATGAGGGTTGCTTTGTTGGCGCGCCTGGTCCGATCATTGGCATGACTTTTAATAACAATAGCCTTTTTATTTGGGGAAACACTGTGTCAGATTTATATGACATAGCTACTGTAGGCTATAGTGGGGTAGCACATATGGGGTACAGTTTTCTAGGGTTTGTATTTGTACCCAACTTTCCCTTAGTCAATTCATTCTCGTTCAGTTTCTCATGGTATCGAGCAGGTTCCCCTGTGGGAACTGTTCCTAGGGCCCACCACCTTTTTTTCCTGCCCGGAGCGCGCTCTACACTGCCCGAGTCGCGCTCCCCTCTCTCGACCCTGTCGCGCCGCCTTAGCGGCCCCGTCGCGTCGCGCTTGCGGCCCCGTCGCGTCGCCCTCGCGGCCCCTTCACGTCGCGCCGCCCTAGCGGCCGCGTCGCGCCGCCCTCGCGGCCCCGATCCGCCGCCCTCGCGGCTCCTTCGCGTCGCGCCGCCCTCGCGGCCCTTTCACGCCGCCCTCGCGGCCTCTTCAAGCCGCCCTCGCGACCCCCCCCCTCCTAGCCGCCCTAGCGGCCCCGTCACCTACCCCTGCGGCCCCGGCGCCGCCCTTCCCTGCCTCGGCGCCGCCTCTGCTGGCCCCGTCGCCTACCCCTGCGGCCCCGGAGCTGCCCTTCCCGGCCCCGGCACCGCCTCTACTGGCCCCGACGCCGCTCCACCCGGCCCCGACGCCGCTCCACCCGGCCCCGACGCCGCTCCACCCGGCCCCGCCGCCGCTCCACCCGGCCCCGCCGCCGTCCCCACGCGGCCCCGCCGTCACCACCGAGCCGCCGGCGCCGCCGAGCTACTGCCGAGCCGCCCGATCCACCCGAGCCGCCCGAGCCGCCGCGCCACCTGAGCCGCCCGAGCCGCCGGGTCGCCGAGCCGCCGAGCTGCAGTTGCTGCCGAGCCGCCGTACCGCCGAGCCGCCCGAGCCGCCGAGTCGCCGAGCCGCAGTTGCTGCCGAGCCGCCGTACCGCCGAGCCGCCCGAGCCGCCCGAGCCGCCGAGTTGCCGAGCCACCGAGCCGCCGAGCCGCCCGAGCCGCCCTGTCCGGTAAGAGCAGCGCCTCTGTCACTGCACTGCCCTTACCCTACTGTTCACGCTGCTAGTCTACTGCTGTCATGGCTACCCCTAGTGTCCTCGCTTTTGACGCTGAGGGTCGGGCCATTGACTTTGACGTCTGGGTAGATGACCTGCAGCTTTTCCTATAGTGCGATAGGGCAGACGGTCTCTCCCTCTTTGACCTCACCTCTGGTGCCTCTCCTGCCCCTGCTGCTGATGCCGACGCCACTGTTCGCTCACAGTGGGCCACACGCGATGCTGCTGCACGTCTTGCTGTGCGTCGCCACCTGCCTACCTCTGAGCGTGCGCACTTTAGCCAGTACAAGAGTGCTCAGACCTTGTACGACGCTGTAGTTGCGCGCTACTCCTCCCCTGCCACTGCTGCACTGAGCCGCCTCATGCTACCGTACCTCTTCCCTGACCTTGCTGCCTTTCCCACAGTCGCTGACCTCATTACGCACCTCCGCACTAGTGACACTCGCTACCGCGCTGCGCTTCCTGCTGAATTCTGCGCCAAGAACCCCCCCCCCATGTACATCACCCTCTACTACATAGTCACCCGGCTCCCTGACTCCCTTCGCGTAGTCAGGGACCACTTCCTCTCAGTTTGCCCCACCACTCTCACCGTTGACCTCCTCGAGAAGGCCCTCCTAGCAGCAGAGAAGAGCATAGTCGCTGTAGGAGCCTCTCGTGGTGACCCTCGCACCCCCGTCTTTGAGGGGTGTTCCCCCTCCCCCCTTTTGCCCTCTGTTGCCTCTGCTGCTGCGGCCGACCTCGTTGGTTTCGAGTCGGTCGGCGCTGCGTCTGCCCCGAGCGGGAGACGCCGCACCGGCAAGGGCAAGGGGGGCAAGGGTGCTGGAGGGGCTGGCGGGGGTGGCGGAGGTGGCGGTGGAGGCAGTGGAGGGGGTGGGGGTGGTGGTGGGAGTGGTGGCGGGGGTGGAGGTGTCGGTGGCGGCAGTGGAGGCGGAGGCGGCGGCGGCGGTGGCGGTGGGAGCGGAGGTGGCGGAGGTGGCGGCGGTGGAGGAGGCGGCGGCGGAGGAGGTGGAGCTGGTCGGGGTGGCGCTGCGCAGAGGGTCGGCTCCGGTGGTGGTCAGCGCCAGCAGCAGCAGCAGCAACAGCAGCAGCGCACTCGTGACATCCCCCCCCCTCAGCAGCTCCGTGAGTGGTACGCTGCACGCCAGCGGGGTGGGGGTACTGGTCCGTGCACCTACGTCCTACGCACCGGCGACCGCGCGGGTGAGCAGTGCGGGGGTGCGCACTCCACCCAGCGCTGCTTTGGCCGCCTGACGGACGCTTGGTGTCACCAGTTCCCTGAGGCCACTGAGATCCCCCGCTGGGGCGAGCTGTCTAGGGCGGGTGTAGCTGTCTTTGACCTTGACTTTGATGCTATTCTTGCTGCCATGTATGCTGTGACTATTAGTGATGAGGGTGACTGTTACCGGTGTTTTCCGCCCGACCCGGGCATTGAGACTGCTGCTCTAGGTACTGGTGAGGCTGCTGCTCTAGGTGCTAGCGAGGCTGCTGCTCTAGGTGCTCGTGCGTCTGCTCCCTCAGGTGCTGGTGAGTCTGCTCTCTCAGGTACTGCGTCGGCTTCGGCCTCCCACACCTTCACCCTTGACTTGGGGGCTTCTCGCTCCTTCTTTCGAGACCGCACCACACTCACGCCGCTTGGCCGGCCAGTTGCAGTCTCTCTGGCAGACCCCTCTGGGGGTCCTGTCCTTGCTCACTTCTCCACTGTCCTCCCGTGTCCGGCGGCCCCCTCTGGCACCCTGTCTGGTCTTTACCTCCCCTCGTTCTCTACGAACTTGGTGAGTGGTGCTGACCTACAGGATGCGGGGGTTCACCAGTTCACTCCTGCGAGTCAGCGGGTGACCCACTGCACGGACGCTCGGACAGGCCGACACCTGGCCACGTTTACACGTCGGCCGGGGTCGAGCCTGTACACACTGACCACTGCGTCTCCTCCAGTCACTGCGTCTGGTCAGGTAGCTGCGTCGGGTCAGGTGTTTGCTGCAGCGTCCAGGTCTGGTCCTGAGTCTGCCCCCTGTTCGTGTCGCCTCCTGTCTCACGAGACTCTCCTCTGGCACCACCGCCTTGGTCACCCCTCCCTGCTTCGTCTCCGAGGCATGGCCTCCCGTGTCCTTGTCTCTGGTCTTCCCCGGTCCCTCCCTCCCCTTCCTCCGGGGCCCGGCCCTACCTGCGTCCCTTGTGTCGAGGGGCGGCAGCGGGCTGCCCCTCACTCCTCCCAGTTTCCTCCGACAGAGGCCCCGCTGCAGACGCTTCACATGGACGTGTGGGGCCCGGCCCGCGTCCGTGGACAGGGTCACGAGCGCTACTTCCTGCTGGTGGTTGACGACTACTCGCGTTACACCACAGTCTTCCCCTTGCGCAGCAAGGGTGATGTCACTGAGGTGTTGATCGACTGGATCCGCGCAGCTCGTCTCCAGCTCAGGCAGAGCTTCGGCTCGGACTTTCTTGTTCTGCGTCTGCACTCTGACAGAGGTGGAGAGTTCTCCTCTGGCCTTCTGCGAGCCTACTGTCGTGCACGAGGCATCCGCCAGACCTTCACGCTTCCGGACTCTCCACAGCAAAATGGGATTGCTGAGCGCCGCATTGGCATGGTCATGGACGTCGCCCGTACGTCCATGATGCATGCGGCTGCCCCCCATTTTCTGTGGCCGTTTGCGGTTCGGTACGCGGCGCATCA